ACACACACACACACACACACACACACACACACACACACACACACACAAAAAGAAAAAAAAAAGCACATTCATGGCAGAGTTTAAAAAAAATCAGGCTAAGATAAAAGGGGGTTTTGCAAACATGGACTCTTGCCAATGGATGAACTGTGTGACACTCCAGATTTTATGCTATTGCTAGATGGTTTTTGTGGAAGAGGACACGAATTTTCACGTGTTTCAAAATATTGGTGTTCCTAATTGGATTGAAATTGACAAATAAAATAGCATATCATCTGGGCTCCTTTTATAAGATAAGGGGACTAAAAGCCCCAGAAATGTGGTCAAAAACAGAAATTGGCTCTTTGATGTCAGAAGAAACGGTCTGGACTTGGTGCCTCTGTGTGGTCCGGCTCCAGATGAACTCAATTTAGAGGGAAGGCTTGGGGATGACTTTGGAAAGCGATTACAAGATTCATAAATCACCTCAGCAAAGGTGTCACCATCTGACTCTTTCATGGGACTCCTGCGAACTGCGTCCAACAACAAGTTTCCCCTGTAGTTTTGCCATCATAACAAATCATTGAAGCGATAGTGGCCAGCCAGGCTCCTAATTGTCTGTTAAGAATTTCGGCGAGCTGTACTCCTTTCTTGAAGCATCTCTGTCTTGGAGAAGTGATGAGATGCCAATACGCTTCTCTATAAAAGTACACTTTGGCAAAAGGCACAAACACTTTGCTTGGCCGTCAGGGTAGCTGTGAGGCTGTTATATCTGAAATCGCAGTTGACTTCGAGATTTTTTTTTTTTTGCCTGCGTCTRCACGAATCTGCAAAACTCCGTTACACAGAGGAATGCTCAGAAATTGTTGGCAGGGTCTTTGTTTTTCTTAAGCCACAGCCTTTTTCTTTCATTTGGAGGAGCATACGCATGGAAAATATCAAACTCAACCAGAGCTTCACTTTAAACTTCACTACATAAACTCGTTTTCAAAGAAGTGATGGGAGTTTTATGCAATAAAACCGTAAAGGAAATTTTAAGTTTTAATAAACTGACAAACACATTGAAGCTTTTGAGTACTTGTTTACAATAAAACTAATTTCCTCAGAAGGAAAATTATATGATTGCTTTGTCGCTTTGTGTTGTATAAAAGCATATTGTATAATAATATTACAAAAAAGAAATAGTTTCATGACCCCTTCCGTCCTTCTGATTTATTTTTCTGTTATTGAAACATCCAGCTGGTATTTAGGCTCAGGATGTCTGACGGCTTTCTGGCCACTTCACACAAAAGATGATAAGACACACACACACACACACACACACACACACACGCGCGCGCACACACACACACACA